ACAGCACAGCAGCTCTTCTTCTTGGTTTTCTCTGATGCACTAACTCTGCAGCAGCACTTCTTCTTCGTCGTCTCGTCTGATGCGCTCACTCAACCAAGCGTTCTAACCACGACCTCGCCCCTCCCCACCCCCCAACCATTAGAATTTCTGTAGGCGGGAATTCTTTGTAATGAAATTCTAATGAGCCGCTTTGTGATATCACAAAGCCCAGAAACCAAACGCTGTAGTCCAAACGAGCCGTTTGCTGTAGTTCTTGAAAATGGATTTTTAAAAAACTAAATATCTCTCTTTGGAGTGGACTTTGAGATTTGTAACTTTCTAGATCTTTTTTATGGCCAAACATACACACTACACACTGACTAAAATTAAAAAAGTGAAAAAGCATAATAGGACCCCCTTTAAGGCAAAAACAAAACAAAAAAGAATAAAAAAAAAACTCTTCTGTTCTCCCGAGCGCCACCTGGTGGAAGCTGCATGCAGTGGACATGTAAGCGCCTGCAGCTGCTTTAATTAGCAGTTCAGAGTTCATGGTCCTCTCTCTATCCATATTATTTTAAAACATGGTCAAATATAAAATATACGCTGGGTAAATGAAATGAAAGAGCTCAGAAAAACTTTGCCAGCAGTGTTTGACTAGAAACGCAAGATGTCAAGCATTTATGCAGAAACTGTCAGAATATATTTTTAAAGAGAGGTGCCCACCCCTTTGTCCACAACATTTTAAAATCTATTGAAATATATGCAGCATTTACGAAATGAAAGAGGTAAGAGAGGCTTTGCCATGCACAGAAGCTGTCATTTTGAGGCCTTAGAATACTTCACAGGAAATGGTTGTGGTAAGCCACGGAAATGACATCGCCAGAGCTGCTCTGGTCGCCACTGTATTCACAGCTCAGACCTTCCCGTTCTCTTTTTTCCTTTCTTGCTTTTCTGCATCAGGGTTGCAACATCATCGCTGCAAACCTGTGGTGTCATTGTTTGTGACACAACAAACATGTTCTGCAATGTGAGGGACCTTTCTGCTGTTGCATGTCAACATCATTAAAAGTTTTGGGAAGCGTTTGGAATTAATGCTTCAAAGTACACATATTCATGTACATCTATTACATACTAACATTATGCACATATTGGACATGGAAAAGTATGTATACTTGCATATTTGCATCTTGATACAGCAGACCCCTATGTTGTGTAGCTACTTTTTGTATTTGTATGTGACCGTTAACTTCTAGATAAAAAAAAATATTGGCTATTATTACCTCCTGGTGTGTTCAAAAACTAGGTACAACTTGTGTTAGGGGTTAAGTTGTCCCAAAATTGGTTTCCATTCAATTTGCAAAAAAAATTAAATAAATAATAATAATAAAAAAATGTAAACTTTAATAATACCCTGAAGGCTCATGTAAAAACAAGCTTGTAGCTTGTCAGTCTCTCTCTCTCTGTCTCTCTCTCTCTCTCTCTCTCTCTCTCTCTATATATATTAATGATATTACTGCTATGCTTTTTGAGCTTCCTGAATACTAAATGCAATATGTTATTTCTATTAAAGGGATAGTTCACCCAAAAATGAAAATGTGATGTTTATCTGCTTACCCCCAGGGTATCCAAGATGTAGGTGACTTTGTTTCTTCAGTAGAACACAAACGAAGATTTTTAACTCAAACCGTTGCAGTCTGTCAGTCGTATAATGGAAGTGAATGGGAATCACGGCTTTGAGAGTAAAAAAAAACATACACAAACTAAACCAAATTAAACCCTGCGTCTCGTGACGATACACTGATGTGTAAAGACACGAAACGATCG